TATAATGTGTTATAAAAATGGGCTTCATAGAAAGTGTTACCAAATCTTTCCATCAAAATAAAACGCATATTATACCCGTTTACCTGCCTGTGACCATGTGAACAATATGTAATCATAGTCTGATTACAAGTATTTAATTTTTGGAATCCAGATTACATGTAATGGGTTACTACCCAGCAGTGTTGCCGACCCATAATGCTCTGCGGGAGTGAGAATTTCCCAGTGAATCCTGACCTTGGTGAGAAACTCCTCCAGGTTTCCCACAAACATGTGCGTCTGCTGCTGTATGAACTGCTCACAGCTGGACTTCAGGTGCCGGTCCACGTCTTTCTTCGAGTCGATGTAGTGCTCTCTTATCTGCGGCGTACCCTGGTGTGAAAGCATTAGCGTATGATGAACCGTTAACCATTCACTATGGATCGGGAGTCAGGTGTGAGGGTCGGAGACTCTGAAGAGCATTAAAGACCCACCAAATGGAATGAATAAATAAATAAAGCTACATTACCTCCAGTAGGAACTCAAGGATAGCGTTATGGCTGTTCAGACGGAAGAACTTGGGCACAGCCTTGGGGTTGAAGATTTTAAAAGCAGCGTCTGAGGACGGAGAAAAGCAAATGTTGTTATGCCCTCTGGTGGCGCTTTACTGACATTACACATACATTTCATCAGGTCACAGTCATTACACACTGCTGCTCATTCACAAACTTAGCTGTTATAAACTCACTGTAAACCACGGTTCTTGGGGCTTATTGCTTTAATATGCAATTCATTGGGTTATTTTAATGAATTTTAATCCTGTATTTAAAAGAGGACATCCTGGGTTTTTCAAATATAACTTCCTCTACTTGGTTTTCAGAAGTCTTGACATCACATTTCAGCAATTTGGGTCAAAAATTACAGGCTTTGTAAATGACTTTAGAAAGATGGCAGCATCATGATGTTATTTATACACAGAGATTAGTAGCTCTGTAAGTAAAATCTGCTGACTTTTGCAATCTTTGCTGCATTATATGCCAATAGTGAACGTTCAAAAGTGGCAAAAAGCACTTTTTGTGTATTTTCGCCCAAAGTTTGCATGCTTGTAAATCAAGAAGTATTAAAGACATCTCAATATTCTTTCGGTTTCTGATTCTTAACAAACTTTTCTTTTAGTATCTTCATTTTTAAGCCCCAATATAGTTCATTTGAAGAGATATGGGGATCTTAATACGGCCATGACTATTTTGTAGAGAAGCGATGAGGTTTGGAGCGTAATTACAGGTTTTGTAAATGATTTTAGAAAGATGGCAGCATCATGATGTTATTTTTACATAGAGATTGGTAGCTCTATTAGTAAAATCTGCTGACTTTTGCAATCTTTGTTGCATTATATGCCAACGGTGATCATTCAGAAATGGGAAAAGTACTTTTTTTATTTTCTTTTTCCAAAGTCTGCATGCTTGTAACTCAAGATGTGTTAAAAACATCTTTATATCCTTTTAGATACTGGCTCTAAACAAACTTTTCTTTTGGTATCTTCATTTTTAAGCCCCGATATGGTTCAGTTCCAGAGATATGGGGATCTTGATGTGGCTCCATGAGTAAACTGAAACCTTTTCAGTGGTCAAAAACCAAATGTGGTTCGCTTTGCATACAGCTGATACTTTATTTCTGTTTTTAAATCACCATTTAATCACAATTAGCACTATGTATGTTTGCCTTTCTTCAGAAAAAATAAAGTCTAAAATCTGGTTGATTTGACATTAAACAAGTTACCCCAAAAAATATAAATTTTTGCCAATGTAAAATGCTGAAAAACACAAATTTATATGTATATGTATTAAATATATCTTTAATGCACTGGTCATTCTGTCAGCAGTGTGAACATCTAAAACAAAGACCAAGTACCCAAACATCACGAAAGCATGGCTGTTACCTCTGGTCTTCTTCAGATCCAGAGAGATCTCTTTAATGGTGAAGTCGGCGTGGAACGGGGCGATCTGCTCGCGCATGATCAGGAGATGCTTGATGAGGAAGAGCTGCCCGTCAGTTTGAGTCTGTGAAGAAAGTAACCTTCACTAAAACATTACTGACCAATCCTGCCTCAGCCAGCGTTTCAGTTTCACACAAAGCTTCACATGCAAGTCTATAGGAATCCTGTGTTTTTTTGTTTACAGATAATATACCAAAAAATACATACACTATTTTAAAAAATAGATAGTTTTGAAAGATAGATAGAAATTTATTAAAACTAAAATAATTATAGAAATAAATGAATAAAATTTAATACATTGTTTCAGGTCATTTACAATAGTGGAATGAATTTCTCAGGACAAACAAACAAATAAATAAAATAAAAATTAATTAAAAATAAATAAAATTAATACATTAATTAAAAATAACAATTAATAGAAATAAGTGAATAAAAATGAAATAGTTTTTGGGTCATTTACAATATTGGAATGAATTTCTCAGGATTGACTGATTACTTAATTAATTAAAAAATAAAATAATTAATATAAATAAATGAAAACAATAAAATAAATAAATTGTTTCTGGGTCATTTAGAATAGTGGAGTGAATTTCTCAGCACAAACAAACAGACAAATAAATAAATAAAAACAAATATAAATGTAAAAAATGTATTTAAGAAAATAATATAAATAAATTAATTTAAAAAAGGTTTCTGGGTCATTTACAATAGTGGAGTGAATTTCTCAGTATAAATAAACAAATAAATATTAATAAAAATAAATAAAAACAAAATTAATTAAAAATA